CGATCCAATATTTTTACGCCTTCTGTAGCTCTTCAATATATAAAGTTGAATTTTATAAAAAAAAAAAAAAAATCAGAACTTTTTTACAAGTACGATTCAATTTTAAATATAGTATATTTAAAATTTATTTATTTATTATTTATTTAAATCTTTATCTGTTTTAGTGAAACATATAGCTCTTTCTCTGAAACTTATCGCTGTGAAAGATTAGAATAAATGATTTTTTATTTTAGAAATAAATTTTATTAAAACAAAACATTTTCAAATTTAAAAGAAATTGACTGGTATATTAAGTATTTTTTGCATAAAACGTAAGAGAAATTGAGCGAGCGATATATTATTAAAAAAAAAAAAAAAAAAAGTAAAAAGTAGATTCCTTTTTATGGACTTTGTAAAATGTGAAGCATACCGCGTGTTATATTTAGAAAAAAAGGAGAAGAAATTTTGTAGGATATATTCCGACAACATATTCGCTTTAATATTAACGCTCGTGAAATATACTGGCGATAATAATTTTACAACGCTGATGGGATTGATCCCCTATTCGATATTGGTTGACACTTCTCGCCTCAGCTCGTGGCTGAAGTTTTTCCGTGATATTTTCTCGGACGCAACATTGGAGAAGATAAAATAAAAATAGGAAAAAAAAAAGAGTATGTTTTATCAATTTTCATGTTCCACAATAGCCGTCACTTTATTTTCGCGCAAAACACTTTATCGGTTTCCAGTGGCGTATATAGTAGTAATGAATTGCGCGCCTCCTTTTACTATAAATATATTTCGTTTTTCGCTTATACTAACGTGGCATGTATATAGTATCGTAGTATATTAAAATATTCATTTTTATGATACATTTGATTTTATACACATATATATAGAGAGAGAGGGGGCAAAAGTGTAACATCGTGTTCTTTGAGAGAGCGTTCATAATATTTTGTAAAGAAGACAAGGTTTATAGAGAGAGAGTTCCGCTTTTCTAACGGTGCGCTCAATTTAAGCTAACCAATCGCATTGAACCTCTTTTCTATATGAAAAGAGGGATAAAAATGTAGCAAAGAAAAGTTCATCCTATGATGTTAGATAGCGAAGTTCGCTTCTGTGATTAATATGTCGATCAGTGAACAAAAGTACATAGTCGCGATATCGAGAAATTTTTATATAGCTACATTTCTCCATTGGCTTTCAGATTTTTCTGTTTTCAAAAAAAAATTCAACTTGGTCAAATTGTTAGCAACTGTGTTTTATAAATTCACAAAAAATTACTTTTTTATACCGATTAACTTCTTTTTTATTTCTTGTAAACATAATTTACATTTTACTATAGTAAAATGTAAATTATGGAACTGGAATTAGAATGGTGAAAGTAGAAATTGAATGGTAGAAGTGAAAGTAAAATTAGAATAGTGAAAGTGTAATTAGAATGGCGAAAGGGTGATAGTGTAAGTAGAAGGGGAAAGTGGCAATTGGATGGTAGAAGTGAAAGTGGAATTAGAATAGTAGAAGTAAAAAGATGGTAGTGGGAGTAGAAGGGTGAAAGTAGAAATTAAATGGAGGAAGTGAAAGTGGAATTAGAATGGCGAAAGGGTGATAGTGTAAGTAGAAGGGGAAAGTAGAAATTGGATGGTAGAAGTGAAAGTGGAATTGGAATAGTAGAAGTAAAAAGATGGTAGTGGGAGTAGAAGGGTGAAAGTAGAAATTAAATGGAGGAAGTGAAAGTGGAATTAGAATGGCGAAAGGGTGATAGTGTAAGTAGAAGGGGAAAGTAGAAATTGGATGGTAGAAGTGAAAGTGGAATTATAATAGTAGAAGTAAAAAGATGGTAGTGGGAGTAGAAGGGTGAAAGTAGAAATTAAATGGAGGAAGTGAAAGTGGAATTAGAATGGCGAAAGAGTGTTAGTGGAAGTAGAGAGGTGAAAGTGAAAATGGAATGGTGAAAGTGGAATATATATATATATATTTCTAACTACCAATAAATAATTTTTGACCATTTATAATAAAAAATGTAATTTATATTAACAATTTTTAGAATCTATTTTATCAAAAACTATTTTCTTTTTAAATATCTGAATTCACTCTGTAATTATCAAAAGCACGAGTCCAATATTATATGTAATGAATCATTTTTGTTTTTTTTTTTTTTTTATTATTCTATAAATTTGCTGATAAACTTTCGCAAAAGTAAACTGAAATAATATTGAACCAATCGTGAGCAATTTTTCTGCTAAAGTTCTATATATATGTATAAATGAAAGAGAGGAGATCTTACAAAGTTTATAAAACTTTAGCTGAAGATCAATTTTCTCTATGTACGTCTCTTTTTAAAAGGAAATTAGAAAGACTTCTGGACATTGAACGTAATCTAAAGCTTGAAAGGTTGAAAAGTTTCTTTAGTATAAAAACTAAAAAGTTTAAGTAGAAAAAGCGATAAGTGTGAAGGAGCTAGAGAGATAAACAGACCGAAAATAGAGACAATAAAGGGGGGTGGGATGTTTTTTTTCTATTTGAATTCAAAAAAAAAAAGAAATTTATGCTAATTTTGAAAAATATATTCTTCAAAGAAAAATAACTATTTTTTGCCATGAGAAAATATTATTAAATTTAAACTCTTTTTTCCTGGTGAATAAAGGGGCAAAGTTATTTTGCATAAAATAATTATTCCCCCTTGGGATTCCTTGTGCTTATTCACCACCGACAATGTTGATCGATTTTGAGTTAAGAATATTCTGTTTTGTTAAGAGCTGCAATATTATAAATAGAGGTAGTAAATAAGATTTTTTTGTTTAAAAAAACATTTTTTCATTTAATTATTTATTTATAAAAAAAAATCAATTTTTTTTTCTTGATTTTCTACATTTAGTCTTTTAATGTAACTCAGCGGTTACTTTTTTTCTAAATAAAAATAATCAAAAAAAAAAAAAAATCGAATTTGCAAAAAATGTCTTTCAAGGGTTTTTTTCTCCTCATTTCACTCACGATATTCATGACGGGGGTATTAAAGTTCCCATGTGTATTTTCGTAAAATTTCTCGTGCTTTCTATTCAAGAAGTTGAGTTGTAAAGAGTGGAACTCGATCTAGCGTGAAATTACACTTTCCAGAATTTTACTCGTAAGAGCTTTCTCTATACAGTGAAATTTGCAACATTCCGCAGTGTACTTGCTTTGAACAAATTATTCATCAATGCCAACTGCGAGTTTTTTTAATCGCGGAAACTTTTTTTTTAATTCTAAAATTAATATTTGTCATTCTTAAAACAAACAAATTTATATCATTTTGAAATTTTTTTTCAATTTTTATTTAAATTAATTTTAATTTAATTACAAATGTTTTTTTAATTTTATTCACCTTCTAAATCTGAGTTAGTTAAAATTTCAACTACTCGGAAAAAAAAATTTACCTGGAACAGCGAAACTTTTCACTATATTAGCAAAAGTTTTACTTGTTTCAGTTTAATGTTTCGCTATTCTAGTGAAATGTTTCATTGTTTCAGATATCGAATTAGTGAAATTTAATTAATTCAAAAACAAAAAGTCACTAATTCAAATTAGCTTTTTTTTACTAATTCAAATTTAGAGAGAAAAATGTTTGAAATTGAATTTATATAAAATAATGAAATGAAAATTATTTATCCTCGTTTGGAGTTTGACAAATATTTTGAGATTGAGTTTGACGGATCATTTAAATTTGTTTGAGGACGTTTGAACGATCACAGCCAATTAAGTGGTTGAATGAAAGTGGCTATCGTTAATCTTCACGTCCGGAATTCGCTTGAATAAGATGGTCATTTTGGACTTGCGATGGCTTTTGTTCCTTGCGCGGTGGGCTAGATCATTAAATTCAGTGGAACCTTGGTCCAAGGTGTGTACACACATATATATATTATATATTATATGTATGTGTATATAAACGTACACACATATATATAGCATCCTTTCTAGAATGGCGTCCTGGAAGCTTACCGAATTATTGTTTGATAAGCCATAATGTATAGATTCTCTATAAATGGGTTCGTATCCTGGCTTAACAATGCCGGAATGATTGGCTCGCTGTCTGGCCTCGTGGCTTGCATTCACTTACAATGCACGGCGTTGGTACTATCGCGAGCTTGAATTTGTGTCTGTGTTTGTGTGTGCTTTCAAACTCGCAATTCTAATAGTTACGTTAGGTTCTAACACTTTCAACAAGAAAACCGAATTCACGTTTCTCTGCATTATAATACCTCTCTTCATTGAAAAGATACCTCATTTGTATACTATTCTTTAATTATTTTCATATATTCTATTTTTTTCATATTGTTTTTTTTTCAATTTTAATTAGTGGAAATAATTAATGAGGAATCGGAAAAACTCACGCTGTTAATTATTATGACAAGTAATTAATTTTTGAAATTTGAGAATTAATTTTTTCCTTTATTTTTTGACGTGGATTATGTAATTTTATTTCCACTTCTATTATCACCATTTCACTTACACTTCCACTAATTTCATAATTCCACTTTCACTTCCATTTTCATCATTCTACTTACACCCTTTCACTTTCACAATTCCTCTTCTACTTTCACCCTTCCTATTCCATCTTCTCTGTTTGACTTTCACGAATGTGGAGATGGAATTATAAAAGTGGAAAACTGAAAGTAGAATTGTGAAAATGGAAGTGGAAATAGAAGGGTGAAAGTGGAATTAGAATGGTGAAAGCGAAAGGGTGACAGTAGGATTAGAAGGGTGAAAGTGGAAATGGAAGTGAAAATGGAATTAGAATGGTAAAGTGAAAAGGTGATAGTGTAAGTAGAAGAGTGAAAGTGGAAGCGGAATTCCTTTTTCCTAATTTTTGTTCCAAAAAAAGTAACCAAACGATTTATTTTTATTCGTTTATTATAAATTTAATGGATCTATTAATATGAATTTGAAAAGCATGACCTAAATTAGAGTTAAAAATATATAATAGAGAGTTAATTAAATTTGTCAGGTGTTAAATTTTCGTTTAGTTGTCTGTAACCACTCACTTGTCATCCGGTTTTAACTCTTGTGCCCTTTTTTTGCCTCTTTTCTTGCACGTTGCTTCTAAACCACTTCCTCTCTTCCTCTCGGATTCACGTGTCTCCTGCCATTCGTCTTTCCAAACTCTCTTCAATCTTTTATTTCTTCTTTTTCTCCTCTCTCTCTCGTTCTTCCGATTTCTAAAAAAAAAGGAATTTTTATTTAATATATTATTAAATAATATTTAGATAATAATAATAATACATTATTATTATTATTATTATTATTAATATTAATTAAATTGCAAACAGATAATTTTTTAATTTATTAAAATTTCTTTTTGTTAACTTTATAATATTGTAGTAGAAAAATAATAAAAATGAATAAGTTTTAAATTTTGTCAAAAGATTTCATGCAGCGATTGGCGTCTCGCGGAAAGATTACTTAATGAGGTGCAAATATATTACGAAAGTTCCACCGTGAATTAGAATCGAATATCGATGATAATGAAATGGATTTGGAGCAACGACTTCTCTTTCTCAAAGAGACAAAGTTATTACACCAACGAAAGCACAATTAGTTATATTATACCTTTTTTTCAACAAAATAAGGCTCAATTTCTCCTTTGAAAAATAATTATTCTTATTGAAAATTAATATTTTTTTTATTTTATAGTAAATAACGAAATTATTTAACAAAAATTGATATGCAAAATATAAACTGAATTCTATCTTCCCATTTTTTTTTTTTTTTTTTTTTTGGTTCTTTTATCACTGATGTTGATAGTAAGTGGAGCTCATTTAGTTGAAATTAAGTTGGCATTTAATTCTCATTAAAGAGTATAAAGACTTTGACTCAAGGTGCATGACAAAGTACTGAGACTTGCGTGTATATTTTAAAATATAAGGAAAAGATTTAATAGCATTAAAATTGTTAGCGAACTCTTCTTCAACTCTATTTGTCATTCAAATTTTCATAAAGTTTCAAAATTTATATTATATAAAAGACTTCCATATAGAAAAGTTTGCCATAAATCATTCTAATAAATGAATCGCTAAAGTGTATTTTTAATTTTCATCTAATCGTTTTCCAATAGCTTTGATTTAACATCAGTTTTTCATGGCATATTATTTAATGTTTTTTATGAATTAATTTTCGATTTTTCAAAATAAAATAATTCATCATGGAAAGTGGAAAAAAAAATTTCTTTCAAAAATTATACTAAGTAAGAATTAGATCAAATAAAAATTAGCCTAAACAAAAATTAGGACGACAAAAATTTGGCTAAATACGAATTAGATCAGATAAACATTAGGCCAAAAATTGGAACATAAAAATTTGGCTAAATAGGAATTAGATTATAAAGATTAGGCCAAATAAGAATTATAAAATAAAGATTTGGTCAAATAAGAATTAAGTCGAATATGGCTTGGGTCAAAAATTGGGATAGATAAAAATTTAGGCTAAATATAAATGAGATCAGATAAAAATTAGGCAAAATATGAAATCAAATGTTTTTTTTTTCTTAGAAAAATTGGGAAAATTTTAACTTATTTTCTGTAATTTTTTTGGGGTATAAAATTAATGTTTCTAACTTTATTTATTTAGACAGTTTATGTATGTCGGTAATCCAATAAAGTTACCGGATGAAATATGCGCAGTCAAAATTTTCAACTAAATCTCAGATTCTCATACAAGAGTGTATGTATAAAAACAGCTCAGGTGTTCTCACATAAGTACACATTGTTCGATTTTGTTTAAAAAAAAAAAAAAATGTGTGTGATACGTTAAAACTTTTTTTTCTACACTATACACAACGCGTCGTGTGCGCGCGAGAGAGTTGTACTTGAATCTCATTGCAGTGGCTAATCCTTGCTGCCATCGTGTTTCATGCGGATTAAATCCTTCTGCTCGGTGCATATTATTCTCATAAGCCGGGCAAAAGTGCCGTAGAGAAAAATATCGTATTAAGCATTAGATTTCCATCGTGTATGCGCGCTTCTGCCGCTTGCGAGAACGCACGTCTTTTCCTCTGGGTTTCTCTTTTATTTTTTTCATTTGCAAAGGACACACAACGAGCGCGTTTGTTGTAAAAAGAAAAAAGGAAGATGGGGAAAAAAAAAAAAGAAAACGCACAAGAAATGAAAAATGAAACTTTCAACGAGTCCGTGACGATGCATGAGCGCGCGAGGAAACCGCGGCAATTTTTTCTTTTTTTTTCTTTCTAAAAACCTGATTACCCAGCACTTACGGTGTAATTAGCGCTTGAGTATGCATTTCTCACGACCCGGCATCATTTGTACGATTCTGCGTGAATTAAAGTAAAGAATTTCGAAAATAAGTCTCTCTCGCTTTTCGATAATAGGAGTTTGTTTTTGGGTTTTGAAAAATTTTTAGTGTAATAATATTTATTGGGACGCCAAATAAAATTTTATTTGTGCTAATTAAATTTTTTTTATTTAAAACAAAAATTTATTAGGCTCTGAAACAAATTTTTTTTTTTTTGCTTCAAGTAAACTTTTTATTTGTCTCAAATAAACGCCAATAAAATATTTCTCTGATTGGAATCACTTGAGAAATTTTGACGCATTTATTTCACTTTGATTTATTAATTTGGTATTTGAAATAGATAACATTTTACGTGATTGGATTGTTTTAAATAAATTTGATATTCTTTTTGTTAGTATAGAATAAAAGTAAAATCCTTTTTATGGGTATTATTTTAGTATGCTGTTAGTGATGAAATAAAAATTTAGGTTGAACATATAATCTGTTAATGGAAGAGCGGGGTGGGGGGAGGGAGAAGAAATTTTCGAATACTTAACATTTTAAGCATTGAAAAAGTCCGGAAAAGATGAATTCTTTTTTTTTCTACGTTGAAAAAGCGTTATTGTCGACCTAATTTGTAAAAAAGTTCCGTTTTTAGACAAAAGAAGCTTGAGCCTTAATCCTTCTATTAAAGTTTCACGCACGAAAATTAAAAGCGTATTGTACTTGAAATTCTCATGAGAAAGACAATTAACGTTTGGATAAATTTTAAACTGTCAAAACAATTATTTTACTAATACGAGACTTGAAATAATAATAATAATTATATAATATTTTTTTCTTTTAATTGTAATAATAATTTTTTCTTTCTTTTTTCTGTTACAGATTGCGTGAAGAAAATATTGATGTCAAAGTGAGTACATGAATATTTAATTTTTAATTATTTTCGATTTGAATTGAAAATTTGTAATGAATTTTTTTAAATTCATTGTTTAAAAATTACTTTTCACTGTCTTAGATAAAAATTAATTAAACATTTTGATAAATTAACGCAGAAAGTGCAAAATATACATATTCATTATCTAGACTTCTGATGGAACATGTTTCCAACAGAATGCAAGGGGGGAGGGGGTTAACCACCACTAAATTTAGGTGTACATAAATTTTGGAATTCACTTGAATGCAGTTGAAGCTTAGTATTATTATAAATTCGTTTTGAAACTTTTTAAGGAGATTTTCATTATTTAAAAGTATTTGAAATTTTTAAAAATCCAAAAAATGTAAGCATATCGCTTACGCGTTGTTTTTCTGCTTTATTAGACGGTACATCTTGTCAATTTTTTCAAAATTCTCATTGCCCAAAAAATTTAGTTCGTCATTATACCGAATTCTAATTTTATCGTATATGGTTAAATTTATTTTTATTTTTTTAACTATATTTTTTATTTCAAAATTTTGATTCATATGTTCGATTCAATTAATTTGCATCGAGGAAAAAATACCAACATAGTTTCTAGATAGTATGACTATATGGAAACTATCTAGCGCATCTACATTATTTAGAAAGGTCATGATAGTTATACTACCTAGTTTTTGGATAGTATAACTATATGGAAAGTATGTAGTAAGTTGTGGATTGTTTACAAAAATCAGGACAGTTGTACTGTCTAGTTTCTAGATACTTAAACTATATGAAAACTATCTAGTTCGTCCAATAAATATTTGGAAAGATTAGGACATTCATAGTAACTAGTTTCTAGATATAATAACTAATTGAAGACTTTCTAGTATGTCTAGTTTATTTAGAAAGATCAGAACAAATAGACTACATAGTTTCTAGATAGTTGAACTATATGGAAACTATCTAGTTCATATTACAAAGATTAGGACAGTTAAACTAACTAGTTTCGAAATATTTAAACTGTATAAAAACTATTTAGTGCGTCCAAAAAATATTTAGAAAGGTCCAAACAGTTATTGTACCTAGTTTTTAGATAGAATGACTATATGAAAACTAGTGCATCTAGATTATTTAGCAAGATCAAGTCAGTTACACTATTAAGTTTCTAGATAGTATAACTGTACAGAAACTATTTAATGCATGTATAAATTATTTAGGAAGGTCAGGACAGCTGTAACATTTAGTTTCTATCTAGTTTTTTTTGTTTCTATCTAGTTTCTTTCTTGTTTCCATATATTCAGAGCAGATATACTATCTGGATACTGTATAGTTCCTATTTAGTTTCTGTCTAGTTTCTATCAAATTTCTTTTTAGTTTCTATCACGTCTCTATGTATTTTTTATCTAGTTTCTATATAGGTTCTATTCTAGTTTCAATATAGTCCGAACAGTTATACTATCTGGATACTATCTAGTTCTTATTTAATTTCTATACAGTTTCTTTCTAGCTTCTATCTATTTTTTATCTAATTTCTATATAGTCAGAGCAGTTATATTATTTTAATACTGCTTAGTTCCTATCTAGTTTCTGTCTAGTTTCCACCTAGTCCCTACTTAGTTTTTATCTAGTTTCTATCCAGTTTTTGTCTAGTTTCTATATAGATTTTTTATTTAATGTGACAAAAACTATAATTTTTTTTCATTTTAAAACAAAAATCCTTGGAGGATAGAGGTAATATTTTTTTATAAACTTGACATAATCGATTGATAACAATCCTAATTATTAGCTAATCAAATCATCTTATCTCTAAGTACACAAGACATATATATATTTAGTAGATGATCTGAGACGAATTTCGTGGTTGATTTTGAATGTATGTGTGTGTATATATTGATGTGTGTGGGTGTGTGTTATGTGGATTGGAACACGATAATTTAATGCTCTCTATTGGCAGCGAATCCTTTGAACCGAATCCTGGCGCGCCATATGAATCTACATTGATATGGGCGTACGGATGTGTCATGTGTATAT